GGGAAGGGCTGAAAAAAGGGGAGAAATGTGTAATTGTTTCATGATCACCATATTTCTATGTGCTAATAACTAAGACCTCATTATCCAACCGAAGTGCAGGGGAAACTGTTTCGCAAAACTGCATTTTACCAGATTTTGAAAGTGTAAAATAGCTACACATCAGAATACCATGTATAGATGTATTTGTGTAAATGTTGAGAATTTCAGACCAAGCTTTTGAGCAAAAAGCAGGGAGGGGTTCAATTTATACTCAAGTAATATTTTCTAGAGGTTAAAATCTATTTTCAACGGTTATAACCAGTCAGCATCATTTGGAAGCATGGCTTTGGAGCATATGTGACCCAATAGCTGCTATCTCAACCAGGCTCTACTGCTCCTGGAGAGTCTCTCACACTTTCCATTCCCTGTCTTACTCACTCACTCACTGCTTCCCTACCTGATCCCTACATTTGTTGCTTTCTTACCCAACTTGCTCTCCGTCTCTGCTTTCCTGTCCAACTTGCTTTCTCTGCTTCCCTGCCTGACTCTCTTCTCTCATTTGCCTGCTTGCAGCTCCTTTCACTAGCCTCCTTGCTTACCATCCCCTCTTATGAGCTCAATGTGTGAGAAAGCAAAGAAAGCAGGGCAGGGAGCAGGCAAGTTAATTTCTTTAAATTATAGAATCAGAGTTATATCATATGGAAACAGATCCTTTGGTCTAATCATCCATGCCGACCAGATACCCTAAACTGATCTAGTCCCATGTGCCAGCATTTCACCCATTTACCTCTAAACCCTTCCTATTCATATACCCATCCAGATACCTTTTAAAAGTTGTATCCACCTCCACTACTTCCTTTGGCAGCTCGTTCCATACATGCACCACCCTTTATCTGAAAAAGTTGCCCCTCAGGTCCCTTGTAAATCTTTTCCCTTCACCTTAAACCTATGTCCTCTAGTTCTGGAGTCCCCTACCCTGGGAAAAAGACCTTGGCTATTCACCCTAACCACGCTTCTCATTTTAAGGTCTCCCCACAGCCTCCGACACTCCAGGGAAAATAGCCCCAGCCTATTCAGCCTCTCTGGTCTGTCAAATCCTCCAATCCTGGCAACATCCTTGTGAATCTTTTCTGAACCCTTTTAAGGTTAACAACATCTTTCCCAAGGCAGGAAGACCAGAATTGAACGCAGCATTGTAAAAGTGGCCTAACCAATGTCATGTATAGCTGCAATATGACCTCCCAACTCCTATTTTCAATGCACTGACCAATGAAGGCAAACGTGCTAAATGCCTTCCTCACTGCCCTGTGTATCTTCCACCTTCAAGGAACTATGCATCTGCACCCCAAGGTCTCTTTGCTTGACAACACTGGCCATGACCCTACCATTAAATTGTATAAGTCCTGTCCTGATTTGCCTTAAAAAATGCAATACCTCACATTTATCTGAATTGAACTCTATCTGCCACTCCTCAGCCATTGGCCCACCTGATCTAGGTCCCTTTATACTCTGAGATAACCTTCTTGACTGTCCACTGCACCAGTAATTTTGTTATCATGTGCACAATAACCATACCTCCTATGTTCATATCCAAATCATTTAAATAAATGACAAAAAAAGCAGTGGACCCAGCATCAATCCTTGTGGCAGACCACTGGTCACAGGCCTCCACCACCACCCTCTGTCTCCTATCTTCAAGCCAATTTTGTGTCCAATGGGCTAGCTCCCCCAGGATTTCATCTCATCTAACCTTGCTAACTAGTCTACCACGCAGAACCTTGTCAAACATCTTGCTGAAGTCCATATAGACAATGTCTACCATTCTACCTTCTTTGTCACTTCTCCAGAAAACTCAATCAAGTTCATGTGACTGCACACATGCACACACACAACAAGCCATGTTGACTATATCACTAATCAGACCTTGCCTTTCCAAATACATGTAAATCCTGTCCCTTACAAACCACCCACCCCTCCCCCCAACATCAGCGAGCCTCCAGTCTTCTGGCACCTCACCTGTGGCCATTGATAATACAATTATCACAGCAAAAGACCCAGCAATTTCTTCCTGGCTTCCCACAAAGTTCTGGGATACATTTTTGATCAGGTCTCGGCGATTTATCCACGTTTATGCATTTTAAGACGTCCAACACCACCTCTCCTGTAGTATGGACTCTTTTCGAGATATCACTGTTTATTTCCTCTAGCTTCTAATCCTTCTCTACAGTGAATATTGACGTGATACTGCTACTTATCTCCTGCAGTGTCACACACAGACAGCCTTGTTGGTCTTTATTCTATCCCTGGTTAATCTTTTGCCCTTAAATGTATTTGTAGAATCTCTTTGGATTCTCCTTAACCCTATTTGCCAAAGCTATCTCATGTTCCTTTTTTGCCCTCCAGATTTCCCTCTTCAGTATATTCCTACTTCCCTTATACTCCAAGGGATTCACTCAATCCCAGCTGTCCATACCTGACGTATGCCTCCTTTTTCTTGACCAGAGTCTCAATTTCTCTAGTCATCCAGCATTCCCTACATCTACCAGCCTTGCCCTTTGCACTAACAGGAACATACTGCCTCTGGGCTCTCATTATCTCAGTTTTGAAGGCCTCACACTTTCCAACCGTCCCTTTACGTGTAACAGCCTCTCCCAACAACTTTTGCAAGTTCCTGCCTAATACCATCAAAACTGGCCTTACTCCAAATTAGAACTTTAACTTTTTGATCAGATCTATCCCTTGTAAATTATTACGGAAAAAAAAAAACTGATCACCTGTAGCATGATCCAGTTGTGCAATTTATATTGATGACTGTGTTTTGAAAATATTTATCGATTTGTAGTATTTTTCAATAACTTTGACTTAAACAAGTGAGGAATTAACTTACATTTTGTTTAATTTTGGTTACGCTTTCTGTGAGGAAGAATAGCCATGTGGCCCAAATTAAAAGAAAGGTCAAGAGTTATGGCCCAAGCTAATTAAGTTATTTAAATTGACCTGTCTGGACATGCACATACCTCTGAGGCAGGTGGAACTTAAACTTGGATTATCTGGCTTAGAGATAGGGACACAACTACTGCATCATAAGACTTCTCCCAAGCTGATGTAAACTAAAATTTTGGAGAACGAGAACATCCTTTAAATTAAAAGACTTTTACTCAAAGACAGTCATTTTTAAAATGTAACTTAAATTATGTAACAGACCTTTATATTTGTTTCCTGTGGATATGTTGAACTTTAACCTATTTTAGGTGTCAACAGTTCCTGTAGAGTCAAACATGATGTTGATAGGTTTTACAGAATGCTCAGATATATCACTGAGGATATTATAAGCAATATTAAACCACAACATACTCCAAGCAGATATCCAAATTGCTCTTTTAGTGTTCATTATCTTTCTAGAGATCCATGAAGTTAGTAAGCTGAAAGTGGTCAATTGCCATCAACTCCAAACACTACAGAAAATCCTGGCTATCCATTGAAGTATTTAATAGCTTTATTTCGGGAACGTGGGAAGGGTGGGCTTCCAGCACCATGTTTATTGAACCCATGTCAAAGAATAATGACATTTGATATCAGCTTGATATAACTTGCATTTAAAAGTCTTTTTTTCTTTTGAGTTGGTTTGGCCAGCATATACTTTCAGTCTTGATCCTCCACATATTTGAACACACAGTTACAATTGGCTTGGTTTAGTAAGTGGCCACTTGAAGATTCAGTAATTTGATTCAGTCCACAGCAGGATTAAACATGTGACAAAGTATCAATACTCACTATTAATACAGTTCAACAAAGAAAAAAAAACATATATTTCAAAGACATGTAGTTACATAAAACTGCATAATCCAAAGATGAGAAATCAACTTTTATAAAAGGAATGTTGGATATCAAATCTCATAATTAGTAATCAATCAAGATTTAGTGACTAATTATCCATAAATGACTGGACATTTTTCAATTTACGTATAGCTTCAATATAGATTTCAAACTATACATAGCCATATATAATTGCAAATTAATATTTGGTAAATTATTCCTTCAATAAAAAACCTTAAATTTAAATATCTGGATTAATGCATTATAAAATATAGGAGCATATTTCTAGGCTGACAGGTTAAAGAGCACGTAAATTATGGAATTACTTTTTGTGTGGCCATACTAAGATATATTTCTTTGTAAATGCATGTTCTCGAGGAACTAACCAGCATCCTGACAGTATCTAATATGAGCTGAACTCTGCAGGAATAGATATAGTTAGTGTTTTATCTTTTTTTTTTGATGTGATGATTGTCTGATTTGATGTTATGATTAGAAAGGAGGATGTATCATTTAATCAAGTTGAATGTCTGATGGCATATTTAGAATCTTTGCAAAGCTTAAGACAAAATAAAAATCATACTGACAGTTACGTAAAAGGTTTATATCTACAACCTGGATATGAAGATACATTATTGGAAGAAGGCAAAGACTAACTCTACAGAAACACACATTGCATAAGAAACAGATGCTGATATTTCAAACTAGTTTCTGTAAAGTGTGAAATTGTGAATATTTCATAATGTAACTTTAAACTAATAGGTTAATTTGTCTTTATTGTTATCTCCCTTCCTAGGACCATCGTGATTTTTTATTTATTAGTTCTAGCCAAACAATTGCTGCTGTAGCAGCCCTCTCACAGTCACATAAAATAAATAATTCCTACCCTCTTCCCCAAATGTCCCTCTGCTTACACTGCTTCAGAGCCTGCCACCAACTCCTTTGCATGGACATTAATCAGAAGCTGAAAGCCACTTCCAGTCTGCAAAATGAAACTCTTGCTGTTGGGATCCATGCTTAATGCATAAAATAAATCCAGTTCTCTCTCAGATGCTGCTGTGGCTTATAATGACTAATATCTGCACTAATACAATGTTTTGTTAAAAATAGGGTATAGAGAAAAATATCAGGCTAAATTATAGATTATTAAGTTAGGCATGTCATGATACTTGCTACACAAAGTATTAACTGCAGTTGGTACATACCCAGATGTTGCCATCCTGATGGTAAGGTTTCCAGTTCCGCCCTTTATCGCTATAAAGTAGTCTGTACTGTGTCACCCAGTCTGAGCTGCTGTACCTGCCTTGTGTTGCTACAGCCGTGACCTGTTTCCTGTTTCCAAAGTCCATCTGCAACCATTGGTAATGATCAGAATCGAGAGGGGACCAGCCACCAGCACCTACGCAGGAAAAAATATGTAAATACCCTTGCATCAAGGTTATTTCTGGAAGAGAAATCAACATTAAAATAAAAGCACTTTAAATCTACCACAAATAACATCAAGTTGCATTTTGTCCATACCATCTAGTATTTTAAATAGACGAATGTAACCTAACTATGTTATTTATACATTTCTTGTTACAGAAACACAGTTGTCGCGGGATACAGAGTTACTGCTCATGGGGAGGAGTTTTTATTTATTCATGGCGTGTGGGCATCACTGACTGGGCCGGTGTTGAGAGCCCATCCCTTGTTACCTATTTGAACTATTGCAATCCATTTGGTGTAGGTACACCCACAATGCTGTTAAAGAAGGAATTTCTTGATTCCAATATTCATAGGTATAGCAAGTTCAATGTTTGGACAAAGGTAACTCTGACAGCATCGATAGTGGGGGATTTAGCAATGGTGATGCAACTGAATGCCAAAAGGCGATGGTCAGACTCTCTCTTATTAGAAGTGGCAACGCCTGGCATTTGCATGGCATGAATGTTACTTAGCACTTTTCAGACCAACCTGGATATTATCCAGGTCTAGCTGCGTGTGGACATGGACTGGTTCAGTATCTGAGGTGTTGCAAATGATGTTGAACATCATTCAATCACCAGTTCTCATCCCTCCTTCTACTTTAGGATAAGAACAGGATGATAGAAATTAGAACACAGGACTTTAATGTACTTTAGAAAATACTGGTAGTAGTCTAAATTTTTCTTTGAAGTTGTAAGCAGGTATCTTGTCCCTTTAATACTGAGCCAGAACTTGCAGGATGAGGACATTTGATTTTGGTGCCCTCTAGCTAGAAATTTTCTGCATCCTTCAACTTGTAAATACTTTGTCAGAACTCATTGAAGGTATACCCAGATAATTGAATAGGGAAAGAGACATTTAGGCCTCCGTCAAATGTCGAGTATGAGCGTATATCTCCTTAACCTTGAGATTTAAGGTTGGCAAACAAAAATGGATTTACCAAAAAGCAAACTCAATAAGAGGACATTTGGCAAAATAATGCTTAGTTAGGTATGGAATAAAAAACTGGAGTTTGTAATTGAGCTTAACAAACTATTCAATGGTTTCAACTAACAGTGCAAATGATTGATGCCACTGAGAATGGATCTCTAAGGGCAAACGTTCACTTTGCAAGGTCCTGACCTGGGTGGCAACTGTCACAATTCAAGCTGTTCCTCATGTTCTATTTGTGAAAGAAGTGGCCACATCTTCCTTGGACCAATCTGACCAATGAATATACTGTGCTTAGCTGCAGTCGAACTTTTTTTCTTCATTTCTCTATTCTGTAACTGGGGATTGTACCTGGGTACCTAAGATGGTGCTGTAAGTGGAGATTGATAAACTTTTCACTGTACTCATTTGTGTACATGTGACAATTTAAGCTAATTCAATTCAAATGGTCGAGGTTTGTCAATATTTTCCAAGGGATGTTGAAATTTGAAACTTCACCACTTGGAGTCATTACCAGGTTGGGTTGAAATTTGCAGGCAATCAGGAGCCATCACGAGTTCAGACTGTTATGAATTTGTTGTGTATGGAGTGTATTCCAGGAGGTCCTATATGAAAGCACGTTTTGTTTTGAGGTCCTATTTCAATACAAGTATATTGTTAGTTGTTTGTAAATGATGATATTTCAAAAAATTGCTTGATGATGTTGGATATTTGCTATGCATGTATGGTATACACTGAACCAGGTTGAGTAGATCAAACCAAGTGAAGCAATGTGTCGTCCTATTGCTCTAAGTGATACCAAGAGTTTATGACTGAGATTCACCCTTGTCTTAACTTTCATCTGGTGTTCACAAGCTGTTGCTGGAAGATCACTGAATGGACAAGAGTGATGCCAAGTTATTTGGGGGTTAGGTCGTGGGGAATTAATAAGACACAGAACTAGACACAAAGTTCTTCTGTGGCCTTCAAACTGTTCAAGAGGAAGTTTGAAATGCCATTCTTGGCAGTGTTTATTCAAAGTAGCAATTTTCTAAGGCAGACTTCTGGAGAACATAGAATATTAGTGAGTTTTTTTCTTCATGTTCTGAAAGTTTTTCATGCTGGAAAGTCATCAGTACATGGAAAAAGCATTGATTTTGTGGAAGGCAGATCACTGGTTGAAAGAGAAGCAATTTGAAGACAGATCTCTGTGGGACCCCATCGTTCATTATGCATGGGTGGCTGATTTGACCTCCAAGATTCACATGGAACCATCAGTTCCTGATGATGGAATCAATTACTGCAGTTTTCACGCAGCAGATGATTTTCAAATATTTCAGCAGCATGTCTGTGTATCATGTTGTGTCATATGCACGGGATAAATCAACAAAGTTGATTCCAGCCTCCAAAGCTTTTGGGAAACAAGCTGTATGAGGTCAGCATCAGGACTTGAATGAAGTTGTTGTAACCTAGAATTACCAAAACTACTGAAAATCCTTGCCTGTTGAGGGGCCTTTGCTTCTTTTAAGACTATGTTCGGTTTGCTTACAAAGTGTCCAGGACCTTATATGTTATTCACAGCAAAACAATGGGGAGTATGGTAGTTGCAGAGGTCATTAAGAAGACGTCCCTTGCTTGACAATGGCCACTATCTTAGAATGGTGCCAGATACTTGGAATGTTGGATATGCTGAGGATTTTAATTAATAGCCTGGTTAGCCATTTCTTTCTTTGTGATCAGAGATACTTCAGGAATTGTGGGTAAATCCTATGAGTTGCCACTGCTTTGTCTGATTTGGTTGCTGTGAGGGCATTGTATCTTTCATTCAGAACAGGAAGGGGAGAGAAGAGATAACACAGTGTGGAACTGGAGGAATACAGCAGGCCAGGCAGCATCAGAAGAGCAGGAAAGCTGACGTTTCGGGATGGGATCATTCTTCAGAAATGGAGAGGGGTAAGGGAGTTGGGAAATAAATAGAGACAGCAGGGGTGGGGCTGGGGAAAGGTAGGTGGAATAGTGATAGGTGAGTGCAGGTAGGGAGTGGTGGGGATTGGTCAGTGGGATGGATGGGGCAGATAGGTGGGAAAGAAGATAGACAGGTTGTGTCGGGTCAAGGAGGTGAGAGGGAGGAGAGGGATGTTTGAACGTGGGATGAGGCCAGGGGTGGGGAGATTTTAAAACTGGTGAATTTCTATGTTCAGGCCATTGGGCTGCAGACTCCCGAGGCAGAATATGAGGTGTTGCTCCTCCAGTTTGCGGGTGGTGTCATTGTGGCACTGGAGGAGGCCCAGGATGGACATGTCACCCAGGGAGTGGGAGAGGGAGTAAAATTGGTTAGCAACCGGATGGTGTTGTCGTTTATCGTGTACAGAGTGCAGATGCTCCACGAAATGATCCCTGAGTCTATGCTTGGTCTCACCAGTGTAGAGGAGGCCACATCAGGAGCAATGGATACAGTAGACCAAGTTGGTGGATGTACAGGTGAGCCCCTGTCAGATATGAAAGGTTTGCTTTAGGCCTTGGATGGAGGTGAAGGGGGAGATGTAGGGGCAGGTGTAGCACTTCCTGCAGTTGCACAGAAAGGTGACGGGAGTGGTGGGGTTATGGGGAGTGTGGAGTAGACAAGGAAGTCGCGGAGTGAGTGGTCCCTACGAAAAGCAGATAGCCTGGGGAGGGGAATATCTCTTTGGTCCTGGGATCGGACTGCAGGTGGCGAAAGTGGCGGAGAATGATACGTTGGCTTGAGAGCAGAAGTGCGGGAAATGCAAGAGATGCGGTTGAGGGCATTTTTGATCACCGGAGGGGGATGTTGTGGTCCTTGAAACAGGAGGACGTCTGGGATGTCTGGGAGTGGGACGCTCCATCTTGGGAACAGATGCGGCGGAGGCGGAGGAATTGGGAGTAAGGGATCACATTCTTGCAGGAGGGTTGGTGAGAGGAAGTATAATCAAGGTAGCTATGGAAGTCAGTGGGTTTGAAATAGACGTCGGTGTTGAGGTGGTTACCAGAGATGGAAACGGAGAGATCCAGGAGGGGAAGGGAAGTATCAGAGATGGTCCCGATGAATTTGAGTTTGGGGTGAAAGGTGTTAGTAAAGTTGATGAACTGTTCAAGCTCCTCATGGGAGCATGAGGCAGCACCTATAGAGTCATCAATGTGGCAGAGGAAGAAGTGGGGGATGGTCCCACTGTAACAGCAGAAGAGGGACTGTTCCACTTATCCGACAAAGAGGCAGGCATTGCTCGGACCCATACGGGTGCCCACGGCCACCCCCTTAGTCTGTAGGAAGAGGGAGGAGCTAAAGGAAAAGTTGTTTAAGGTAAGGACAAGTTCAGTTAGGTGGATGAAGGTGTTGGTGGAGGGGAACTGGTTGGGCCTGGGGAGGTGAAGAAGCAGAGGGGCTTTTAGGCCATCTGCATGGGGGATACAAGTCTACAGGGATTGGATGTCCACAGTGAAGATGAGGTATTGGCGGCCATGGAATTAGAAGTCTTTGAGAAGTGGTGGGTGTGCGTGGTGTCTCAGATGTAGGTGGGGAGTTCCTGGACTGGAAGGAAAAGACAGAGTCAAGGTAATCAGAGGTGAATTCAGTGGGCCAGGAGCAGGGAGAGACAATGGGTCAGCCGGGACAGTCAGGTTTGTGGATTTTGGGAAGTAGATAGAAGCGGGGGGTGCGGGGTTGGGGAACGATGAGGTTGGAGGCTGTGGCTTGGAGGTCACCTGAGGTGATGAGGTTATGGATGGTCTGAGAGATGATGGTTTGGTGATCGGGGTGGGGTCATGATCCAGGGGGCGGTAGGAGGAGGTGTTGGAGAGTTAGCGCCAGGCCTCTGCGATGTAGAGGTCTGTGCACCATACTACAACTGCACCCCCTTCTCCGCAGGTTTGATGGTGAGGTTGGGGGGGTAGTGGAGGGAGCAGAGGGAGTGGAGGAAACGGAGGGAGCAGAGGGAGAGAAGGGAGTGGAGGGAGCAAAGGGCTGCACGTTCCGTGGGGGAGAGGTTGGAGTGAGTGAGAGGGGTG